TGAAGACAATAATAGTCCCCTCTGGCCTACGAAACATGTGTCACTGTGAATTTTTAATGTATTCCTGAAAATATAAGCTTAGGTGTGATGTTACCTTCTCCCCAAACAGATGTCTACACCCTGGCTCCTGTGCATTGTAAGCCTTGTTGGTGCTCACCAGATTTAGGGTTGCAGAGCACAGGGGGACTGCTGCTGAGTGTTGGGCTACTGCTGAAGTACCCACTGCTGCCACAGCTACTCATGCTGCTCCTCCGCACTGCCGACACGATCTTTATCTCCTTGGTAGGACTCACTGCAAACAGAGAAAACACAGAGAGAAAGGGAGCTGGTACGGGTTATTAAACCATTTCCCTGGGCTCTTTAAAACAACAGCAACAAACCATGTTTTCACTGACAACACTGGGAAGGGGTAATTGTGTCCTACAGTTAGAAGAGTCACTGCACGAGTGTAATGCTGTAGATAACAGGAGGGCTGAATTGTTCCCATTGCAGTGTCTTCTAAGAGGCATTTCAAAGTAGGGAACTAAGTATATCCAGATTTATTTCTTTCAGTTCTCACTAGATATTGTTGTACACAAACACTGCAGGCCCTCTTCCCCTCACTTTTATTCATGAAAACTCCACATAGAATGTATGACAAATTACTTCGGGCTTGGGGTATTTTAACCAGTTCTATTTACTCATGAACACCAAATTTTGATAGAGTCCAAAACTGCTATTGATACAGATACAAAACCACCCCAGGGAGCTAAAGATTTGGTAAATTGAGTGAATGGACACATAATCCCCAGGCCTGCATTTTTTTTCAAACACTGAAACTCCTTGTCCAAAAAGGATTTTTAACATTCCATGGAGTCACTCTACATACAGCAGTGTAGTTGATGAGTCACCTGAGAGAAAACTGGTGTGTTTTCTGTTGTCATGGTTCTGTTTGCGCAGGCAAAATGGGCTGTCATGGCTTTCTGGCATCAAGCGAGATTTCTCAGTGAGGAGCTCCATCAACCGCCGCCGCCGGCGGAAGTTCATTCTGCACTGGTAGAGCAAGTTGCTGTCCATAAAATGGTGCTTGTTAGACACTAGGAAGAGAAATGGATAGAAAGTCTATGCCTGGTAGGACTGAAAGTAGAGCACATCTGTCTGCAGTGTGTGCACTACAGGCCTTGCTCTAAGGAAGCAACACTCAGAACTCTCCTCTTCTCTGCAGACTCAGAAAGAGGAGGAAGGTGGCCAGCTTCACACAGCTGGCTTCAATATACACACTTTTATAGTGACAATAACAAAGTAGTAACTTTTTACACTACCTGAGAGGAATCTTTTACACTATCTTGATTAATAATGAGCACTTCTTATTGTCAAGTGGAAAGAGAAGTACTTTATCTCTCTGTGACAGGCTGCATCATGATCCACCTCCATGCATGCTTCCCCTGTACGCTGTTTGCTGCTGCTGGTCATCACAGAACAGACTTAGCCCCTTACATCGAGTTTGGTGTAAATTCATCAGTCTAGGGCAGCCCCTGGGAGCTCTGTTCAACTACCTTGTTCAGAGTTACAGGGCAACAAAGAATCAAGACCTGTGTATTTCCTCTGTCTTATTCATCACAGACATCATGTCCCAGACATTTCCTGCAGGCCACTTCCCCCCTTCACATGGATACACAAGGTTTGGGAACAGGCACCCAGCCAAAAACCATTTCTTACATAATGAACAAGTCTTAATTGCAACCTGTTTTGACACTGAGAGCAAATCCCAGGCTGCTGGTGTCAAAGCAAGAGCACCAAGCCTACCCACATACCCTATCTTCTGTGATCAAGCTCCACAGAAATAATTTCCCACAGTCGACCTTTTCCATGAAGGATCTGGATTACGGATTCACCTAGTTTGTAAGCTGCATTTCTTCCAATACTGAATAGTAAGAACTGGTGGGTTATAGATATTTATATGTAAAATGTAAACACACAGATATGCACTGAGATCAGTCAAGTCTATGAGTACATGACTTGGTGATTTGGCCTCCTACTGCAGATACTGAACTTTTCTTTGCCCACCATGTGGGGTCCAAAAGCAGCAGAGCCCAAGGCACTACACAAGACCCAGAGCCTGGGGCTGTGCTGGCCTGCTTTCCTTTCATCCTCATCCCCAACACAATCTTTCTTGCTCTCATTCCTTCTTAACACCTCTCTGTGTCTCAGACTGTTCTCCATGGACCCCACAGAACTACAACACGTACGTGACAGCCCTGCCAAAAAGGCTGTACCTTAGACATGAGCTGCCATTATGCCATTTGATGCTTGTGAGTTGAAGGAATAACCTCAGAGAGGAACAAGTCCAGTCACCTTCTCCAGTACATACACACCAGGAATGTCAAGTCACCCAGACAATAAGGAGGAGACCAGTCCTAGACATGATCCTCAGGGCACAGTCCTCACATGGATGCAGAAACTGCCATATGGGGTCAGACCATATACCCATCTTGCAAAGAAACAAGTTTCTCGCCTGTCTAGGCTGCTGTCAGAGAGGCCACTGTCTGTACAAATGGACTTTTGCCTTTGGGACACGAAGAATAGTCAGGACACAACAGCTTTCTGAACTGCTTGTGCCCAAGCAGCCATGCAGACCACCTGCCGCAGAGCCCTGCAGTGTGGCATAGGCTGAAAGGCATTTCTTACAGTTTTGAAACACTACATTTTTTTCATTAATAAAGTAGAAAGGCCACGTCAGTCAGGCAAGTTGCAATGTTTCAAGTACCATCTAACAAAACACCCCTGGTACCTCCATTGCCTGGCTGAAGAGCATTGGAAGAGCCAGTGCCACTTGGCTTTTGTCTACTTCACTTCGGTACTGAACCTGTGGCGTCCTCAGATCAGCCACACACATTCCTCCATGAGCAAAATGGCTTTGCTAAATCCAATTTTGCATTGCAAGTAATTAATTACTGTGTTGTGATGTTCATTATTTCAGGCACACATTGATGCTGTGCTCCCCATTTTGGACACATGCAGTATGCAATACTATTAAACAACACTTACTAACAATCACTATTTTTGAAGAATGGAAATAGAAGAGGAGAGATTTGGAGATTTGCCTACATCCTCAAAAGGATCTGCTGCAGAGACAGAGTTAGTACGTAGGTGTTCGCAGCTACCAGTCTCATTTTAGGATCAGTGACATAATAGGTAAAAGTAGCAGTACCTAGAAATAACTTACCATATTATTAGATGCAAATACAAAAAGAAGTGCCTTTATAATTTTTTTTGAGCCCATCTTAAACTTAGTCTTAAAAAAGCAAGCTGTATTCATTCAGCACTACTGGGACTCATAATCTTAAATAAAAGAGAGCTCCACAAATACTCCCTTGGAAGTGGAATTACTGTGGCCAACTGTTTACAATATAAGAAATATCAATATGGTTTCTGATTCAAGTTATGTATTATGCCACTACATTTTTAACTAAAACTATTCTGTTCTGTTTGTGTCATTAACTGAAGTGCTCTGACAGTGTTCAGAAATTATGATAACCAGAGATCAGCACACATTCATGCAGCAGACACTGTAAAGCACTCTGAAATTCTAGAATTACAGACCATGAAACTAGATAACATAAACATTTTAATGCCAAGATACAGAACGTGTCCTAGAATAACAATACTTGTTTTGACTGAAAAGTTACAACATTTACATATTTGAGTTAGCAAAGCTTAGGTTGTCCATTGAAGTAATTAATCTCTGCTGTAACTATTTTAGTCTGTGGAAGGGTAAATTTTTATATAATAAATGAAGACAAGTTGAAAAGGTAAGACTGTGTGTCGGAGAATATTTATATATGATTTACACAACAAAGGTTTTGCAGCCAGAATGCTTATGACAAGTAGCATTAGTACAGAATCTGGAGTGCTCATTGACTTTCAAAGTTTAATTCCTCATTTCTAAGGATAGTTCACATTCCATGAGAGAGTGTTAGAGAAACAGCATGAATCCTCAGTTTGAGCAAATACCGTGTTTGTACCACCATATAACTTTCTGCATATTTAAGAAGAAGCTAAAAATCTGAACAGTAGTTAGCTCAGACTGCCTCCTTGTGCAGACATCATCAAATAAAACCTCTCACTAAAACTATTACTATTCCCCATGGGGCTTTTGTGGTGTCTTTTCAAATCACCTGACATATTCATGATTTGTTATGAAATGTCCAGGCTGTGACTCCACCTAAGGATGACCATATCTGGAAGGGCATGGAGAAAGGGATTTCCAGACCAAGGGTCAGAAGGAAGAGGTTGAGGAGGGGGGAGGCAGACACAGGTGCTAGCTGTCCCTGAAGCACTCCTCAGATGCAGTGGCTGACTTTCAGCATGAACCAGCAGAAGCTACACATGCTCTTGTCCTTGATAAATCACAACTGTATGAATGCCAGATGCAGAGCACACACAGAAGGTTGGTTTTGTTACACTTAGTTGCTGCTAGGTAAGAGGTACAAGTGCAGGAATGGGTTAGCAGCCCATGTTTTGCTGCAAGCAGCAGAGAAAAGAGGGAGTGAAAAACTTCACCAAACATGGCAGAATGCTGAGAGGGCTGCACAGACTTGCTCAGGAGGGATTTCTTTAAAGGTAATTCAGAGGTTGCTACCTCTGAGTGTTGACTCAGATGCAGTAGCAGACAAACTTGTGGCAGCTGACAAGGCTCTTGCTCCAGGTATCTGTACCTCTCATGGAAGTTGCTGCCTCCAGACAGGGATTAATGTAACTACTCCTGAATTAGTTCACTACCCTTCATAATGCAGCAGAGAAAAGCAAACTGGCACCCATTTCAGTTTGTCTTAAACAGGCCATGGCTGATGAGTGTCAGGAACTGTATTGGTACATGAAGAGGGTGAGGTAAAGAGCAAGGTGGGGTGACTTCAAGTTTCTCGTTCCAATTTAATTCACCTGTGTTCATGTGGCAACATGTTCACATTATGGTGTGCACCTTATGCAACAGAAAGAAATGTACCAACGAGAGCGAAGCAAAAATATGGTGACTGGAAACCTCCAAAATCATAAATACGCACAAGAACTTTTAGGGTCCTGAAGGCAAAGCGACCAACACTAACTCAGTCACTGATGTGAAACTTCAGAAGTTCCAGTCACAACTCACCAGCCTAATCTCCCACATACACAGACCACAAAATTTCTCCCAGAAACAGAATTTATAAACTATTTTTTAATCTTACAAAAATAGAGTTTACTCATACTATAAAGTGGCCTGTAATGATCACTTTACCCCTAATGAGCTGCTCAAGCCTTCAGTTACTTTCCCTGCCAAGCAATAAAGATTTAACTCAAAGCTGAATTTGTTTAACTTTAGCTGCTAATCCCTGGATTTTATCATACCTTCATCAGAAAGTTATGTAAGATCTGGTAAAAAAATCTTTGTAAATAAGCCTGTGAAGAGATCTTTTATCAACTGAATAAATAACACTCCTTAAATTCTGACTTTATTTTACCCCTCCTTGAGTCCTCTTGAGAATTGCTTTATCCTTCCTAAAAATCCACTTGCCAGAGCTGCATGCTAACAGTTATAAATTTACTCCCCTTCTCTTACTTGCTGTTGTCCTTTTTGTACATCTCAAGCTCAGTTGCTACAACTGTAGTGCACAAACAGCAAAAAAAAAGGAACAAACTGTGGCCTGTACGTCCTCCTTTCCCTGCACATTGCTGCTTCACAGCAAGGAGCAGAGCTTGTATTCTCATTTCCGAAATGTATTACCTTCTAGTTATATCATTAGTTATACAAAACCACATCTCTTTTGGGGCAATGACCATTTAATTAATAGAGTTCAATTATTCATTTACTGTCTCATCTGTCCCTTGAGTTTGCAAATTTCATTGGCAAGGTTTTCAGCTGGTCATTCACCATTTACATTAGTGTTAAGAAGAAAAAAATCAGAATATTTATTTTGGATTTTCTCAGCTAGGGAGCACTTAATGTTGCAGATTTGGTGCTTCTTGTGCCTGGCTGAACAGAAACACAGTTTCTGTTCAGAAACATAAAATATAAATAGTAACATCCATGCAAATCTTCTTTCAGCTTCCGATTCTGACA